TCTAGAGATAGACAACTCTGACGATAGAAGCAGGGAAACACAACAGAGAAGAAGAGAAGACGGTCAAAAGCTACACGAAGGGGCACTGAGTGAGCACAGTATTGGAAGAAAAACTACACTATTGATAGTGAAATAAAACTGAAACAAACTGATAAATTACATGTTTTATTTGTAAAAGTTGCTGATTTATAGTCAATTTTTGCGGAAGGATAAATTAATTCGTACGCGGTTGCTCGAATCCGACACAAAATCAATCCAAAGAATATATTGCAATTAAAAGAAAAAGAAACTGATACCCCAGAATAAAAACGAGTTTCTATTTTGCTAATATATATATTACCTAGTATGAAATCTGGGTAGGGACCTTAGCTTTGCTAAGTCGCTGATGTGTTATTCAGTACGCACTCCGTTATGTTCCAAATCAGGTTTAGGTAATCAAATATACTTGCATAGTTATATAAGCGGGCGTTATTGATGTTTATAGAATATGATTTTGATGTAAGAGAAAACGGGGTCATTGAATTTTACCTAGGGCAATACTTAATTTTTTGAGTTTTGGATTGGAGCTTATTTTTTTTGTGTGAGAATTAAGTCGAAAATAAGAACTTGGATTAGGAAAGAAATGTCGAAAACTGATAGGATAGTTTTTTCGGGAAAAGAAGAAGGTTTTTCCTACTTTGAAGAGCAATTCGAGGCACGAATTTTTCACTTGAACTTAAACAAGATTTTAGATGAGACAGTTGATTATAGAAATTTTATGTAAAGTTTAACCCGAATGCAAGCAGTGATCAAAAACAAGCTGCGATAGATAAAGGAAAAGAGATTTTTGAAGAATTACAGTTGCATATCTGGTACGATCTTGTGCAGGCTCTACATAAGAAATCAGTTTTGTTTTTAAGACCATATAAAGGGAATGGTAGCAAAGCTTGGGATGTTTTACGGAAAAGGTTTAAGAGTTTTGAAAGACCCAGGCTGCAAAAACTAATCTCCGAACTTACAACTTTGAAAAAGAATAGCAATGAAACAGTGATAGATTATTTGACTAGAGCAGAGGAACAAGTGAGCAGAGGAACAAATAACTTAGAACAAGTGAACGAAGGAGTGAGTGAAAAAATGTTAATATCAATTATTTTGAAAGGAATTCCAAAATAATTTGAAACTTTTTTTACTATAGCTAAGTTTAGCAGAGATGAGAAAAGTTTAGATGAGTTGAAAAGAGATTTAGTGAATTTTGATAGCGAGAGACAAGTAATCGAAAAAGAGCATGCGAGAACAGAGTTTGTTTCAAGTGTCATAAAAGAGGACATGTGTCGAAACAGTGCAGAGAAAACTTAAACAGCAGACGAGATAGTGAAGATAGAGCTCGAAAAATTCAGTGCTTTGAGTGCAAGGAGTTTGGACATATTGCAAAATATTGCCAAGCAAAGAAAAAGTTCATTAGTAAGACTAAACGAGAACAGCAGAACCTAGTAGCTGAAACAGAGGCTCATTTTAGTTTCCTGAGTGGAGTGTCTCCGTGCGAGGATTTAGTTGTAGACTAAGGAGCTACCAATAATATGATTAAGGATCGAGACATGTTTGTTAGTTTAGATGAGAACTTCAAAGGATCGGTTAGCAATGCAAATTTCTCTGAATCAAAAATTTTAGGGAAAGGCGAAGTTAGATTCAGAGTGAAAGATGAGAAAGGCGAGTTTAAGATGGTTGAGCTGAAGGATACTTTGTACGTTCCTGAAATTTGCTGAGTGTATCAAAAATGAAGAAAGCATGAGCAGAAGTTGTTTTTGGTGCGAGCTCGTTGGTTCGCCAGGGAAATGGATCAGTTTACCCATTAAGAGAGGAAAGTGGTCTCTTTTTATGGGACACTTTTGTAGGAAAAGACGAGTGTTATGTAGTAAGCACATTGAAACAGTGGCATTGCAGGATGGGTCATAATAACTACAAAGATTTAAGTCATTTGGAGCAACATGTTGAAGGCATGAAGATTAGTGATTTTAAAATTGAGAATTGTGAAACTTGTGAGTTGAATAAAGCAAAAAAGAAGCCAGTCCCAAAAGATTCTTATACCAGGGCAACCAGGACACTAGATTTTGTTCACACAGATATTTTAGGTCCTATCGACCCGCTAGCAGAGGATGGACATAGATATGCTAAAGGTTTTGTGGACAGTTTTTCTAGATATCTGAAAATTTATTTCATGAAGACGAGAGATGAGGCAACAGAAAAGTTGGAAAGGTTCATTGCAGACATAGGAGTCCCTCAGACTTTAGTTTCAGACGGCACAGGAGAGTACATTGGTCAAGATTTTAGGCGAGTTTTTAGGAAACAAAAAATAAGAATGGAAACATCGGCTCCTTATACCCCTCAAGAGAACGGAAAGATAGAAAGGTTGTGGGGAACAATTACTCCAATGGCTCGCTGCATGATTTTTGATGCAAATTAATCGAAAACTTATTGGCCTTATGCTCTTAATATGGCTGCTAATCTCAAAAATAAGTGCTTTCATTCTGCTATAGGCAAAACACCCTACGAGTCAATGTATGGAGAAAAACCCAACCTTAATTTTGTGAAAACTTTTGTATGTGTAGCGTATAGTTTTGTGGAAAAACAGTTTCGCAAAAAACTAAACAAAAACTCTAGAAGGGGAATTTTTCTGGGGACATCGGAAAATAGTAAAGCTTATCTGATAAGAATTGAGAGTGAAGGAAAGTTCAAAGTGCAAAAGTCTAGAAACGTTAGTTTTGACGAATCTAAGTTCTACTTTGAGAAAAAGATAGAAAGTGACGAAGGAGAAAGAGTAGGTGATGTAGTATTTTTTGGAGAAGTTCTCGAAAATATACTGAAAAGTGCTAAGGAAGCTTTAGCAGACCCTGACTGGCAAGAAGCAATGAAAAAAGAGTTTGATTCATTAGAGAAAAACAAAGTTTGGGAACTAGTTAGAAATAGAGGAGAGAAGCCTATAGGCAGCAGATGGCATTTTGCTTTGAAGTACGGACCTAATGGTGAAATTTCCAGGTTTAAGGCTAGGTTTGTTGCTAAAGGTTTTAGCCAAGTTGAGGGAAGGGATTTTCACGAAACGTATTCGCCTACAGCTAAGATGTCGACCATAAGAATAGTCCTGAGCTTAGCAGTTCAAAATAGGTATCAGTTGAGAAAGTTAGACATTAAAACTGCATACTTGAATGCCAAACTAGATGAAGAACTTCTTATGAACAAACCTGAAGGGTTCGAGAAGTTTGATGAAGAAGGAAAACCTTTAGTTTGTCTTCTGAAGAAAAGTCTTTATGGACTGAAGCAGTCCGGTAGAAACTGGCATAGGACTCTAAAAAGCTATCTTGAGGAATTAGGTTTTGAAAAATCAGTTTTTGATGAGTGCTTGTTTGTTAGGAGGATTGAGGGAGTGATAGAAGGTTTAATTTGCTTGTGGGTCGATTATATAGTGGTTTGTGGAGCAGACAAAAATTTCTGTAGCTGGTTTGAAAGCAATATCTCTGAAAAATTTGAGATAAGCGAGATAGGTGATCTTAAATGGTTCTTAGGAATGAAAATTGATTACTCAGGAAACAAAATTAGCATAAGCCAGGAGAAATTTGTTGAAAAATTGATATCAAGATTTAGGATGACCGAAGCAAAGCCTTGGAAAGCCGGAAAAAGTTGTCTTAGGTATCTGCTAGGAACAAAAAATTTACCTTTAGTATACAGGAGGGATAAGGCCTTGAATCTTGTTAGCTATTCGGATGCGGACTGGGCTGGAACTATAGACAATAGGAGAAGTACCTCAGGATATTGTTTTAAACTCAGTGACAACTCAGGTGTAATCAGTTGGTCTAGCAGACTTCAGCGTTGTGTATCAACTTCAACAGCCGAAGCAGAACACAATGCTGTGGTCGAAACAGTAAAGGGAGGAATTCATTTACAGGGCATACTTAGCGACTTAGGCATAATTTGTAATAGGCTTTTAGAAGTTTTCGTTGATAACCAAGCTTGTATTGCCCTTAGTAAACACTCAATGAACCACGGCAAGACGAAGCATTTTGCCATAAAACTACACTTCCTTCGAGAGTTAGTTGAACAGAAGAAGGTGACAATAACCTTTTTACCAAAAGCAAACATGCCTGCAGACGCATTGACGAAAAACTTGGGAAAGTGCAAAACTGCATTTTTCCGAGACATTCTACTAGGAACCACCTAATTTGAAAGGCGGGGTATTGGTGATTTTTCCTAACTGAACTGGAATTGATATTTCTTATTCAGTTCAAACTGAAAGATCACTTCTCGATTTATGTTAAAATTAGCTGGTGAAACATGACCTTTAGTCATTGGTTCGAGCAAATTTGTACGGGTGATTTACAATATATATTTGATCTGATTTGCTACTGGAATTATCACTCAAATCTCATTAATTCACTCCTTTTTAATCAACCGTTTGTCGCTGCAATAACCTTCATATTAGCTAGCTTTTTGTCCGATGTTGACTCGTAAAGCCCTGTTTTTCATGATTTAGATTTTAAAATTGAATTACTTATCTCATTCAAAATCAATTTTACACAAGCAAATTAGCGAGCATTGTGTTATATTACGAAAATATATTTTTTTCCAACCGAAATAAAAGTGCTCATTTGGTTGGTCTTACAGCATTTACATCGTTTGCTGTATAGCTTTTTATCTTTGGATCTCGTTTTCTGGTGGCCAGTGTTGGACGATATTTAAGCGACCATGTCGCAGTTGATAGAACCTGTGACTTTTAATCGCGAGGTCGGGGGTTTGATTCCATCACAGCAACCTTTTTGACCGTTTTCCAGCTATTTTTTTGCCGTTTCCTCGCTGGTGTTTGCGAATTGCAGCTCGGATTCTGTGTATAGTCTTCCGTTCAATCATTCCTCTGTGAAAATTTTGCATTAAAAATTATTATTTTTTCTTTTAACTATTTTGCCAGGAAAACTAGTGGTAGTGTTTTGTTGTAATTGCTCGGCAGCAACTGGCTACTCTTGTTTTTGTTGCAGCAATTGGAGGTGGGCGAGGAGTGGTTGGACTTTTGGCATGTCCAGATGAGATACTAGTGAGTGATTCTGATTGCTTTTTGCTTCAATATTACTCACATTTTGTTCTGAGATACTTATAATAATTACTTTTATAGTTATTTTGCTAATCTGTTCAATTCGTGTCTGTACAAAACAGAACCATACAAAAAAGTCCAATACAGAACAGTCCGAAAAACAGTCCCAATTAATAATTGTTTTGACAATCCGGCAGGCCGAGAATTGTCCTTTGTTCAAAAAGCATAATGAACAAAATAGTGACCGCCGCAGTCGCGCCAACGTGTTGCAAGCTTGCCAACAGAATGTAGGACTTAATACGAATTTTTAAGCCAGTTATCGCCGCGAAGCGGCGACGCGCGCGCAGCTCGCCCACTGGCGACCTTAAAACGGACTGTTTTGTATTGGACTATTTTTTCCCCTCCATTACATGATTTTTGGGACTTTTTTGTTTTGGACTGTTTTGTATGGGACTGTTTTGTATATGCACCGTTCAGTTAGATTTGAAAGTTGTAAGACTTCCTGGAACTACGCACATAAATTGAACAAGTTTGGAGGGATAAAATGTTTTCCTACCTTTTCTAGAATCAGTAGTCATCTCCAATTTTAGTTATGTTATGTACACAAGCAAAGCTTGTGTTATAGTATGAACTCTATTTTTCCAACCTAAGTCGCAAATATTGTTGCGACGCAAGTATTGTTGCGACAAGATGTGTTCATTTTAAAAGTGTTCTTTTTGATCAATAACCAGCTATTAGGTACAGTCAATGCTAACGATATTAACACAGACTATTATATTACAAATAGAACTTAGGAAAAATAGGAGGGTTGGAACCTGGGCAGGGTCGGATGTTTTTAATGAACTTTTTCGTATACCAGTCAAAATGCGTCCGCTCTATAAATTGAGGCTTGTTAGTTGGTAAATTTTTGTTTTTCAAATTGACTGGTACGGTACGGCTAATGCGTCATAATTGGCGTGCGTCACTTAAGAAACTTGGTAGACTCATAGTTCTACTGATTCAGTTTTTCCCAGTAGCGTTATTGGTCATATTTCTGCTTATATATTCATTATTTTTTGCTACTGTATCCGGGGCCAAAATTGCAATTATAGCTTTACAATTAAATTTGATTTTGTCGAAGTTTTGTGGATTTGGTCATATTTTCTGTGAGCTTACTTGCCGAGTCTTTTCACAAAATGTTTTCTGTTATTGTTTTTAGTTTTCCTATTTAATTTCGAGATGCGTAAGTAAATGTCATAGATTTTTGGTTTTTATACTCACTGCAAATTTTACACACTAAACTACTTTTCCAGATATTGCTAAATGTTTTGAGAAATAAAATATCTTGATCAAATTTTTGTAAAGAGTTTTCATTTTTTGTGGTAACTTATTCGGTTGTTTGTTTTTAAATTTCACAATTTTTTTTTTTATTCTTTGAAATTGACCTTCAATAATAAAGAAGCATTGAATGAAAGCACATGACAGCCCAAACGTTTCTGAATTGAGTATAGTTTTTCAAGTTTCAAGAATGTTATTTTGAAAATTTATTTTTATGACATTCGAATATCTCTAATGTATAATTAATTTCTTCTGTATAATTTGCTAAAATTAGGTTGATTTTCGCCGAAGTTTTAATTATATATATTTAATCATTTCTTCATATAGGAACGCAATAAATGAAGACTTCTATTATGATTGGACCGTAATTTTTTGAACTGATTGCAAAAGTCTTTAATGAACTTTTTAATTTTTTTTATGAATAGCTCGTGTTGTATTTAATTTGAAGTTGTGGCGTTTTATCAGGTTTTTGTGAACAATGATTGTTTTTCGAACACTGGCATACAGGCGCGGATCTAAGAATTTCTCGAGGGGGGGGGGGAGTGGTTTGGTCGGATTTTCAAAATAAATCGAAAAATTTTTAGGTCGAACAAATTGATTTTCTGAGCACTCCCAAACGACTATAAAGACCCTAATTTGACCAAATTTTCTGTGCCGCAGAGAAAATTTGAAAAAATGCGTTTTTAAGCAATTTTTGGAAAAATTCGATTAAAAAAAACGCGTTTATTCGGCGCCCGCTCCCCCCTCAAAATTAGTATAGATTGGCGCCATAGGCGCTTTTAGAAAATTTTAAGGTCATTCAGCCAAAAATGGATATCTCAAAATAGTACAAATGGGGACCCTTTGGGTCGGCAGGGGGTCGAATCCCCTAAATCCGCTACTGCAGGCATATAACTTATCTGTCGCAATAGGCGCGTAGCGCAGCTTCGGCTCTGTATATTTTTAGCAATCTTGTTCCTTAATTTTATTGGCCATGTGACTGATGCTACTAATTGAATGGGTATTTGGCTGCTGTTTTTCGTTCACTCAACTCAGATTAGGATTTTGGAGAATGTGGACTGGCGTAGTGTGTTAAGAGTGTCAATGACATGTCACAGACTACACAGAGTGTGTGCTGAGTGGAGTTCTGTTCTGTGGACCAGATACTCCTCTGATAAGCTGCAAATCAACACTTCTCTCGACTTCAGAACTAAGGTGCACTATGTAGAAATTAAACACAGGGTTCCCGGTTAACAACTAGATTAACCAAATCAGTTGAATCACATATGATTATGCATTCGGGCAGTGGCAAGCTCCCCTATATTAGGGTCCACTCACAATGGTTTTCTACAGAAAAAGTTATTGCCCTCGGAAAAACTGAATTTTTGATTACTTTTAAGCTTTTTGAATATTCTTGAAAAGAACTCTGCCATATCTGAGATTTTTTGTTCAATTCAGTGAACGGGTTGTGGGATGCTCATTTGCTCATGGGACTACGCCCAATTTCTTCTGGCACCTAAAGTTATGGCCCTTGGTTAGGTCACAATTTTGATTTTGAGATTTTTGATTGTTTGACTTGTTTTAATTTGACATTTTTAATTTATATTTTTCACATAAAATCTGTGATTCTCGAAAATGACAAATTTTTGATTTGTTGACCGTTTTTTTGCGCTTTTCTCGCTAACTGAGCTGCCAAATATGAAATCATAAGTTTCACCGAAACAACTTGATGTTGAAAGCCCACATTTATATCTGGCTATGCCCTGTTTCTTAAAGAAAAAATTTTTGAAACTTTGACAGTTTTTGGGAAATTTTTGACTTTACGCGAAAACTAGCGTGCCAATTTTCAGGTTGTGTTCAATCGAAAAACCCGGTTTTGGGAATATTCTTTGCTTAAGTTGCCCCAACCTGCTTTTTACAGAAACAATTTATGGATTTGGGAAAGTGTTTTGACCGTGCGTTAGAACTTGTGACCGTGTTTTAGAAATTTTTGGAATTTTCTTAGAATTTATCCAATCAAATCTGAGATGAAAAGTTCAATTGATTGAAACAGTTTGCGATAAATGTTCCTGCAGAAGATTCGACTACCTAATTTTTTGTAAGAGAATCGTTATCCCCTTGGGAAAATTGATTTCTCCTAAAATTTTTTACTTTTCTCACCTATTTTAATAGAGAAACAATTAAGGTTTTGTGCAAATTCCAATTTTCTAAATCAACTTTTTGTGCTGCATCAGTCTAGAAAATTCATTCAATATCAAACACGTACCGGTTTTTTTTCGAGACATACCAAAATTTTGCTTCACATAGTTTTTGATAATTATAAATTTTTCGACTCATGTTTTTATGTTTCTGTTGTATCGCAAGTAATGCGAAGCTCTGCTTCGCCTCTTTGTTTAAATTCCAATTTTTTTGTTTGGCCTGTTTGCCTGAAATTCCTGTTTGATAACAACTAGTATTTTGAAAATGTATGTTGTTGTTTTTTTTCTATTTTCTGGGATTTTGGTTTCAATGGTTAGAACGGATTCGAAAGCTCAAACTTTTTTTACACATAAAATTATGCCCTCGGAATAGTGAATTTGTTGTTTTCTGACTGTTGTGTGAATCTTTTCGACTTTTCTCGATAACTATAATCATAATAGTAAATTGTTTCCAAACGATATCTAGTTTCAATGTTAGTTATAAAAATTTATAAATACAAATTAGAATCGTTTGGGAGAACACCATTAAGCCAACAAGGCCCGTTTTCAGGTGTCTCATTAAGCGGAGAACAAAAAAAATACTTAAATTCTCTAATCCAATGCAATGGACTTTCTACCGGTAACCATATATAAAACGTAAAACCTCTTTATTCGCACCTTGGAACCATTCTCTATAAAAAAAATAATTTAGTTTTCTCAGGTAGTCTTTCAAGAAATTGACCCAGGTGGGAAAAAATGTATTACAAAGTTGAACATTTTTCTAATTTTAGGTGTAATCGACCCTCTGTTGAGTTTATTTCAGTTTATAGCTAACTTCTGATTTGTTTTTCGCTTTGAAAATATCAGGTTCAATTCTTGTTCAGTAATAGAATATCTCAAGGTTTCAACTTGGCACTCTTTTCGAATAATTTTTCCGGTTAATTTCAGAACTTCGTCAGCAAAAAATTCTCTTACGGTATATATTTTATTGTCATGCATTATTTCAGTGATTGAATCCATCCTGTGTTTATAAAAAATTATTCTGATTAGCCTTCTGATTTTCATTTCCAGTTCTAACAGTTTGGTTTTGTCGGTTTTTGCATAAACTAAAACTCCATATTGGATGATTGGTTGCACGTAACTTTTATACGCAAATATTAATTGCCGTCTAGTTAGAAACTTTCTCAATTGAAAAAACACTCCATAGGGTATGCGAGTTAAAACCCGTAGTAAAAGAATCAGATTGCAATCAATTTCATTCAAATAATGTAGCAAAGAGCTATACAAAACGATTTGAAGTGATTTAAAATCAATTTAGTTTGGTACAAAAAAAACTTAAAAAAAAATTTTCTCAACTGGTTTTGAACGGATTGATTGGTTTCCGTTTCACAGTCACAGAAATCAAAGTGAATAGATTTTTATCCAGTTCCAGCTTTTAGTATATTCATCCGACTATTCAGATTTTTTACACTATCAAGCAATAGAGAAAAAATTTTAAGCTAAGCTTTTCAATTGATTTTTCGTTTTGATATTTGGCCCGAAATGAATCTATGATTATAAGTCATATGTAAATGTTCTACTATAAAATATATATTTTGTCTCAAGTTTCTCAATTATATGTCATTTTCTCAACCAAATTGAGTCTAGATTGTTGATAATGAAAAAATATATTTATGATGAAATGTCGCACAGGTTTTACTTTCACTAACGCGGTAAACCTTAGACCTGCTCAATTTGAAAGTGAATCCCTTCAATGCAGTATTTTGCGTGTATAAATGTTCTCAAGTGCACTCTTGCAAACTGAAATAAGATTGATAACTGGAGGATTTTGGGGTGTTTGATTATTGAATTTTGGCAAATTTCTGATAACAAATGCGC